CCTCCTCTTTCTCAGCATGGCTCATATCTATTGGATCAGGCAGCTCGACGAGCTCTGAGGGTGTGCATTCCAACCAAGTTGTGCCGATTTAAGATGTGATCGGCATCTGAAAAGAAGACGGATGCACACGAGAGACTTCCAATCTGGCCACGATAGTGCATAGGCCCTAAATTAAGACGGCCGCTGCGACCGCCTCGAGGAGAGGATCTGCTGCCATCCCGGCAATGAGATTATTCAACTCTTGGACAAATCCACCAATTTCTTCTTGTCCTGTCGAGCAGCAAGGATTCGCAATCTCGCGCGATGTGCCTGATCAGGCGGCGAGAACACTCGCAGAAGCTGACGCCTCAGCTCCTTCCAGGAGAGGAACGCACCTTCAACAAGAAGCACCGTACGTTAGTGCCCATTTTCGCGCTCGGCCTCCGAGCTTGTAGATAGCTAGCGCCACGTGCTGTGCTCGATTCGGAGCATGGCAGATGCCATAGCCATCTCGGTCTCTCTTATCCAGAGCAGACGATTCTGTCTATATTTACCCTCGAAGGTTTTAACGCTCATTATGAGCGGCCCGGGCCGAATGGAATCATCCGTCATTGACGCTGACAGCTTCTGCTGTCAGTGCTCTAACAGAGCATTTTCATACCTTGAAAACGCCTCGCACCATTGCGCAAAAGAGGTGCTCCACGCCCTCAGGGCCCAGCAGGGACATCAGCTTATCAAGCCCGTCCTGCATGCCCTGGGGCAATTCGGAGTAATCGTCTATTCTCACAAAGAATCAGTCGTAACGACTCAGGCGTAGATTGACTACGAGTTCTACTAAGTGCAGCAAGGCTGCCATAGCTTTTTGCTTAGAGGAAGCTAAGACCACCAACCTTACGTTCTTTACAAGAACCAGTACGAGTGTAGCGGATCGCAACCAGGGCGAATGATCTCTTCAATTCAAAATTTATACTGTATTTGACCTAATTTATAAAGTAGAACCTAATTAATATGCCTTAGTACTGCCACGTCATTGTGTGATTGAACTTATGTTTGGCCACACCATCATGTGTGACCCGCCCTTTCATACAAGGTACGGCTAACGCCGTTAAAGCTTGTCTCGTTTATTCAGATCGTTTCCGCAGTCGAAAGCAAGTAAAACCGAAAATTTCAGGGCTTAAATCCGTGGTAACGCCTTTGGAAAAGCATTTAAAAATTTTGCACAAAGAAGTGTTGAATTTCCAGCCACTGGTAAATCATATGTATTTCACTTCACTCTCTGGACGACAATCTTGCGAACATGTCGACTTTTGTTCCAGCACTCGTTGCGCTATGATTGAGCCTTAAATCGCTGCTTGCGCTTGCGACTTTCATTTATACATGGCGACTGTTAAATTTCTGCACGTGATGTTCCTTCTTATAATCGCCTCATAGTTAATAGTTGAGCCCACAAAAGAAGATATCAACTTCACGCGATTCTGACAGACAGCCTGCATTTCCTAAAACAATCAACGATCACATGCGAGATCAACTTTCATGGACCGACGTATTCTTGCAGCACAATTCACGCGGATCATGCAAATATGCGGATTACGCTTGTACGAATCTTTATTGTCGAAAAGACTGATCATGTCATGTGACGATGCAACTTGGAAGTTTACTGAGATGTAGATATTCGGAAGGGGAACATTAATAACGACTATTGCCGCCTTGCATGATACACCAATGTATTATCTAGATTGAAAAACACTGTAATAACCTTCTGAATACTTGAATCGTCAAGCACTTGCGAAACCGATTGTGTCACTGCTTACCACAGGGACAGTCGATGCATTTCACTCTTATATAATGTTTTCTTAAGCCATGCAACCTAAGGAAAATGCAGCTTCGACCGAAATGCCGCACGTCAGTGCCCATTCTCGCGCTCGACCACCGAGCTCTGAGATTGCTAGCGCCACGCGCTGTTGCTCGGTCTGGAGCATGGCGAATGCGATGGTAATCTCGACCTCTCTCACCGAGAGCAGGAGATTCTCTCAATCCTTCCCCTCAAAGACCTCAACGCTCACCATGAGCGGCTTAGAGCGGGGAAGTTATCTGTTACTGGCGGTGGCGTCATAGACGCAAATAAAGCAGAGATTTTCCGATTTGCAAACGCTTCTAGACGCGCTGCGATTGCCTCGGGACCTTGTGCTAGAAGGTGCTGCATGCCCTCAGGGCCAAGCAAGGACATTAGCTTGTTAAGCCCGTCCTGCATGCTCTGGGGCAAAGAGAAAAATTGTTCCATTCTCACTCCTTACAGAGGATCAGATTAAACGACGACTCAGGTGTAGATTGACTACAAGTGCTACCAAGTGTTGCGGGGCTGCCGTAGCTTTGCGCTATGAGGAAGCGAAACTTAGGTCACCGACCTTTCGTTCTATACTTAGAATAAGTTCGAGTTTAGCGGATCGATACTCCAAGAGTATTTATTGCCTTAATTTAAGGCTTGTTAGCGCTTCCGTTTTAGAACCAAAACTGACTTCTATTTGTTTTTATCTGCGGCAAAGCCGCCTAATGTTAAATGTATAGATATTTTTGAAATATATATATAGTAAAATCTAAATACATACATGACTACAACGGCTACCCAGCCACATACC